TGGTTGCGTTGGATGTTTATTCAGAGTGTTAACTAACTGGTTTTTGTTAATTTACAGCTGGCTTAAAATAAGATAAAACATACATAAATTTTTTAAAAGATCTCTTTCATGTGAATAATTTGTTCAGAAGAAAGGAGTCGGGATGTTCTTTTGTAGTGTTTTCCCAAAATTAGATTATCAGAACTTTCTGAATTCAAAGAAACCGGCAGTGCCGTCTGAATGATAAGATTTGGGAATAAAGAACTATAGAAATTTTAAAACACTCTAATTAATCTGACAGATGTAGAGGACTAATGCGGATGAAAAGAAATGTAAATGCAAAGCTTAGAAAATGAACGGGATTGTCAATTGGGGTGAAGTTTTGGGTTCTTAAGAAGGACTCCTATAATCCTGAAAATGAAAAATATTAGGGGGCCATCAAAAGGTCTGTGCTTGGCATGTGTGAAGCAAAGTCTCTGATCTTTGAGAAGATGGCAACACGGAATGGCTCCTGCTCTGTGGAGTGGACTCGATAGGGTCATGTTTGGAGATGCAATGTCCCTTATCCACGTCCTGCAGGTCTTAGTCTTGGGGGTTCATCAGCCATAAACATGGGTTGGCCGGTTCTGAGCCAGTTGTTTTCTGAAGCCCCTGGAAATTCTGAGATCATATTTTCTGATGTCCTGGCTCCTTTTTGTCAGATCCCAGGATCCCCAGATGCCAGTCAAGGTGAGCCACTTTTTCAGAGTTACTACTTCAGGGAGGGAATTGCGCTAAGGATTCCTGGGCATACTAGTGGTATTTTGTCCCAGCTTTCATGAGTGTATTTTATGATGATACCTTGTAAAAGGATATGGGTGTATAGATCCAGAGACCAAAGTCAAGTCTCAGCTTTATTAGGTGAAGCCTTATTGTCTCTCTGCCTCTATTTCTAAGTCTGAAAAGTGAGGTTAGTAGTAGTTATGGTTTTCCAGCCTCTGATTCTAATAAAAATAAAATATGGTAACAAGGAAAATACTTTGCTGTCTACAAATGTAAGAGGTTATTAAATTTTCAACATGTGGAATATATATGCAAGTCGTGAGACTACAGTAAACCCTTAACTGAGATGTCACCAAACAACTATTCATGGGAACACTTAATTAGTCACAACGTTTCTCAGCACCTGCTACATCTTAGTATCATCTGGGAGCATCTTTAAAAAACTACCGAGTCACTGTCATACTAATTGGGTTCATTATCCTGGCTGAGGTTGGGGTCAGGGTATGGGTGTCTTCTAAACTGCCTAGGTGGCACTGGAATGCATCAAGTACTACCTACAAAACTTCAGTTACAATCTCAGAAGACACCCTAAAAGTGTAGTCTTAGAAGAATGTTATTTTTTATGATTGATATATGTGCACATAAATAACAATGGTTTTAGAGCTCAAAAAGCTGGGGTGCAGATACAGACACTGGGAATACTTTCTTTGTACCTTGAGGTTCTAGACACGTCATGTGCTCTCTTTTTGACTCTGAAACTTACCTATAAGGTTTCTGAGGGGAATTGCAATCCTTCGACACCCAAAAGATATAAAATGAGAGCATCATTACCTCATGGGTCTCTAGCTAGAGTTTTAATTCATCCTGCATCGTGAAGCTTTTTGTTCTTGTTTTGTTTGTTTGTTTAAGCAGACATTGAAAGTGCATCTGAGAGGTCCTGCTGGTTACTGAATTTTCTTGAAACAAAATGGGTCTGTAGCAACTCTGACCTAGAAGTTTCTGATTAAATGGGAAAGAAAAGTTCATTCCCGGGTAGAAGAGGACAGACTTTCCCTGTCCCTTGAATCTGTGGCTTGAATCTGCTGCTGCTTTGGCCTGGGTCTCAAGCTTCCAGAAAATCTCCAGTCTGTGCCTCTGTGACTCTTTTAGGATGTGAAAGGGATTGTCATTCTTAGATGAGGCCCCAGGCCAGCAACTGGTGCTGAATGCAAATTCTCAGGCCCCACCCCAAATCTACTGGATCACAAACTCGGGCTGGTCCCAGCAGCCTGTTTTAACATGCCCTCCAGGAGGTGGTGGTGCAATGCATACATGCTCAAGTTTGAGGACCACTGAGCTAGGACAAAGATGCTTTTCTTGTTTTTCTTTTTCTTTCTTTTCTTTTTTTTTTTTTTTTAGACTGGGTCTTGCTCTGTCACCCAGGCTGGAGTGCAGTGGCACATCACAGTTCACTTCAGCCTCTACCTCCTGGGCTCAAGCAATCCTCCTGCCTCAGCCTCCTGAGGAGCACAGGTGCATGTCGCCACACCCAGCTAATTTTTTAAAATTGATTTTTATAGAGATGGGGTCTCCATATGTTGCCCAGGCTGGTCGCAAACTCCTAGGCTCAAGCGATCCTCACACCTCGACCTCTCAAAGTAGTAGGATTACAGGCATGAGCCATCATGCCTGGCCTGGCTTTCTTGATGATAGATGTGTTTGTATAGAAAACTCACAAAACAGGTATTTGTAGATATATGCCAGACTTAGTTCTGCTTCCATCTCCCCTTCCCTGTCTCTCCTCTGATGGAAAGGCAGATCAGAGCTAGAGGGAAAATGAGGGGTAGCATTAAATCTCAGAATTACTCTGTCACCAAGGTTTCTCTTCCAATCTGGAAGAGCCAGTAATTGAGTAAAGATATATTGTGTATATATAACTATATAAAGATATACACAATGTTTAAAGATACACTGTATATCCAGCTTTGCTGGCACCAAAGTGAAGAAGAGATGAGCGGAGGAAGGTCTATTCCCTAAGGCCACCCATCCACCTGCCTGACAAGAACTGGGTAGAAAGAAGAAACTGCTATCAAGGCACGTCCCTGTTGTGTGTCAGATCCCTCCACACACTTCGACACTTCCATAGCACTTGCACCTGCTGCAACAAGAAAATGCCCGGAAGCCACTAAACAAGTGGCAGCGTTTGAAGGATAAGGGGCCCAATGGCTGGGAAACTGCAGATGGGAGAAAGACAGCACAATTATACTCACATTTGCAGCAGGTAGTAGAGCACCATGAGCAGCTTACTAATGAGATTTTCCTATAGCCTTAAGGGAGAAAATAAAAACCGGCAGAAAGAAAGAAAAAAAAAAAATACACTGTGTATCTATAAGTCTGTCGTGAAGGCAGGGGAGACAAAACCAGGAAATTCCAGAAATTGGGCGCCATTGAGGTCTTGAGGAAATCTTGGAAGACTGGAGGTTGGCATGAGTGGGGAAGAAAACGAGGCCTGGTAAGGGCCACTCAACCCAAAAGGGGCCACCATGTGCCTAAATACCTGTCCTACACACAGCACTCCCAGAGCTGTGCAGTGCAGTGCCTGGGTCTAAGCAAAAGCGGAAGGTGGCTTTTGGGTGAGTCCTAGGGTTTCTTTTGAAGAGTCATCCACACTGTGACTTTAGAACTTCAGAACAGATCACTACAGTGAAGACAGCTGTGCTGTCTCCTCCGATGGTCATTAAAAACAATGTAGATTCTTGTCTCCCTCTCAGAAGTTTGGAAGCAGAAAGAAGAATAAATGTTATCTCCAGAATCCTTCCAGCTAATAACAATTGAAATAATGTTATTGCCTCTATCTATCTATCTATCTATCTATCTATCTATCTATCTATCTATCCATCCATCCTGTATCTCAAAGCACTCCTTTCTAGACAGTTAAAGAACTTAAGCTGCATGGCCTATCTTTCAAACATCATGGGGAGAATGGTTAGCATGAATAGTTATTCCAGTAATAGGGGAAATTAGGACTCTCTCTGGAGTGGTTTTTTTTTTTTTTTTTTTTTTTTTCAGTATCCATATAATAGATATCTCTTTTGTTTTTTGTTTTTTTTTTGAGATGGAGTCTCACTCTGTCACCCAGGCTGGATTACAGTGGTGCGATTTCAGCTCACTACAACCTCCCCCCACCCACCTCCGGGTTCAAGCGATTCCCCTGCCTCAGCCTCCTGAGTAGCTGGGATTATAGGCACCCACTATCACACCTGGCTAATTTTTGTATTTTTAGTAGAGACAGGGTTCCACCATGTTGGCCCAGCTGATCTTGAACTCCTGACCTCAAGTAATCCGCCCACCCCAGTCTCCCAAAGTGCTGAGATGATGAGTATATAATAGACATCTAAATTTACCAGGTACTATGCTAAGTGCCTACACACATTTTCTCCTTTAGTCTTCACAAGCACCCTGTGATGGTGTGCTGTTAATATCCTCTGTTTATGCAGGGACTTGAACCAAGGCGAAAGCCTGAGCTTTCATCCCCTCCACCTTACTCTTGCCCTAAGATGTGACATTTTAATGTCAGCTAATGGCTCGATGCAGGTGGTCATGTGGTTACCTATTTCATCTTTTATTCTCAGGATTCAAATGGAGATATGCAATTACCTGTACTCTTTATGTTTTTTCTTTTTTCTGGCTTGTGCTTCTAACCCTCTATTTGTGGCAATATTTTAAGTTAATTATTGGTACTCTAAAGGCTCTTAGACTTCCATATAGTGCTTTAAGTACACTGTAACTTTAAAGTAAAAATTAACCACTGGGAGCTAAGCATCATTCTCTTTCCTGTGGGCTGAGCTTTAGTATTATAACAGAAATTCACTAATGAAATAGACATAAAAAGAGCCTTCCAGAAGATTTAAGAGGGTCATATATTCTGTGTAATTGTTATTTTCTTAGTTAACTTCATCTCCATTTGTGTACCTGCTACAGATTTTTAATTATGTTTAATTACGCAATGGTTTAATCTACATCGTCTTTTATTTCCTCTTACTGTCCAAAGTATTTTGTTTGAAGTTGGGTATGGTCTCAAACATGTCAACACCAATTCTTTGGGGTGAACTGCCGTTGATAGCCGCCTGGTACACATAGGAATTTCACTGCCAATGCTATTATGGCACCTTTGGAAGGAAAAGAGGGTTAATTTGTTGCATATATAACAGCCCTGAATTCTTACTGCTTTACAGAAAGAATGATTTTACAAATAAAATTATTTTTCCTTTTTATTTCAGGAATTACAACATATCGTTGGATCACAGCACATCAGAGCGGAGAAAGGTAAGCATGGATCCATATGTATGTATGAAATGCCACAGGGTCACTACTCTTTCGGCTATAATAATATGGTTTCTCTCATCTCCAGCGATGGTGGATGGTTCATGGTTAGATCTGGCCAAGAGGAGCAAGCTTGAAGCTCAGCCTTTTGCTCATCTCACTATTAATGCCACCGACATCCCAACTGGTAAGCTCCATTTGCATCCAGCCTGAAAAATATTTTAAGAGTCATGTATCAGCCCATTTCAATACTGAAACCTATTTTTAGTCTGTCACTGAATTTTTGAGAGCCCTTCCTTCAAAGCCAAAGGAGAGACCATTCATCCTCAGGTGATGGCTCACATCCCGGAAACCGTGATTCTCAAAAATGTCAGAATGGACATCATCACCCCATTCATTTTCAGATCATCAGAATGGATGCTTATTTTAAATGACTGTCAGCTGAGAGCCTGTAACCTGGAAGGACCATCCTTTGTTACGCTCATCTGTACTTTCCCAAGCTAAAGTTGACACAGCCCTGCTGCTGACCTCAGAGGTGAATGAATTCATCAGGTAGTCACATACTCAGCTATCTCCTGCAGAGGTCCAGGGAGGACACTTTAGATCCCTGTTAAGTTCCTTAAGAGACAGTAACCCTCTAGAAAATGAGATCTCCTCCCCCTTCTCCAAGGGCTTATCATTTTCTCTGAGTAAATGTTTAGCTCAATGGACTAGAGACCTGATTATCTTGAAAATGAGGAAGCCTGGAGCTCGCTGCCTACAGCTACCCTAATACACCAGTTATTCCATCACACAACCCCCACTGGTTACTTTGCCATGGGCTAGATAGCTATCAAAAAGATAACAACGTTATGATAGAGTGACTATTGAACATTCTTGTTATCATCATGCCACTAATGGAACACTTGAAGATCTTAAAGGGGGATCTTGAAGTGTCCTCCCTGGCACTCTGCAGGAGATGGCTGAGTCTGTGACTACCCGATGAACTCTTCCACCTGTCAGTCAGGCATTTTCCCTTCCTCATTACCTCTCATCCTTACTGCAATCCTGCAAGGTAGGGATTATCACGCAGATTTTGCAGACAGGGAAACCGAATGATACGTAGGTTGTCATTTGTTCCCAGTTCATGATGCTGGTAGGATTAGAAGTTGAATTCCCGTCCCATGGATTGCTAAGTGCATGCTTTCCATCTTCTCTATTATCACATAAGCAGGCCACAAGGTATTTGTGGTCAGTTGGCTTGGCCAGAGGGAAAGAATTCAAAGCCCTTATGTTTCTCTTTTCCTGTGAGAAGTAGATTCATGTAACTTCTAATAACAGGGGTGCTAAAATCTGACTGCCTGGGTTTGAGGCTCCATTGTACTGGCTCTGTGACCTTGTACAATTTATTGGAATCACTTACGCTTCAGCTTCATCACATCTGAAATGGGGATGATGATAGCATCTGCCTCGAGGGGTAGCTATGAAGATGAAATGAGGTAGAGTCCTAACATTCTTGTGTGGATGAACAGCCAAGTAAGCACTTGTGAGTGTGACTTGTTATTTTTGAGTTTAATTAAGTAATTATACATATTCCACCTTTTTCCTGCAAATAATTTAAGGCAAGTCTTTCTTGGAGTTAAAGAAAGTTCAAGTTTTGCTGAATTATTTGGAAAACTTTATTACGGCATGGATAAGGGAGGGATTTTTCCTGACCAAAGACACAGACAGGGAGAAACCAATTCTTTGGCTTTTAGAGGATTTTCCAAATGACCTCTCCTGTCCCAGACACTTGCTTCATAAATAGTTTTTTCTCTCTGTGTGTCTATGCATGTCTTGTGATGGAGCTACACTAATTTTCTCTGAGTGGAAAACTGTTTTGCATGTTAGCAAAGGCAATCAAATAAATATGGATGCATGTGTATTAATTTCTCTGAGTGGAAAACTATTTTGCATGTTAGCAAAGGCAATCAGATTAATACAAATGCATCAGCTGTGTGTGCTATTAATGTATTATCTTGTATCTTTTCAGTTCCCTTTAAATGGCATATGATAAATATTGCATTAGACTATGTGCCAAAGTCTGTTTGGCAATAGCAAGCGTGTTTTAGTTATCAGACTCTCTCTGCAGGCACCTAGCATCAAATCATTGCCAAAAACACAAGGCAAAACTCCTGGTTATTTTCTGACAGTTATTGAGTTTGTGACTGAGTGAAATGAGTTAGTGTATACTTCTGTTTAAGAAAATAGAATCTGTGGCTCTGGCTGGACCCACAATTCCTTGAGTCCATTTATTACCCAGTTTTGGCCAGTACTGGAGGTTTCAGAGGAAGTGGCTTTAAATTTGCATGTTCATTTTGGGGCTCTGTTTTATACTTATTTACACAAGTAAAATCAGAATCTGCTCTGCCTTATATGGACTGATACCACTTGCATTTTCAAAATGTCTTAGATGAAAATGTGTTGGGAAGTAGTTCATGAGGTCAGAATACATGGCTTTCTTTAGGAGGATACTCAGGCTAAATATTTGCAGACACCGCTCCTGCAGCACTTAGCAGGAGGGTCTGAAGTGTAGGGTAAGGGAGGCTGGGAAAGCTGGCAGGCTGGAGTCAGAGGTTGTCGGTGTGCCTCAGTGATGAAAATCCAGGTTTCCATGCGAGCCCGCCATGTGATCACTGCATACTTTTCTCATGTTTTTTCCTGGCGTTGTCTGTTTCTGAGTCCTCTCTTCACACTAACTGGCTCTGGTCCTTTTCACCCATACGTGCCGTGCATATTCCATTCTTTGCTCAGTTTCCCTCACTGACAATACCCTCCCTTTTCTCAGCCCATCCAAGTCTGACCCAAGGCCCCGCTGTCCTCTGGCTTCTCTGTCCCCTTCCTGAGCTGAACTCTCCTGCTTGCCATGAATTTCTGCAGCTTTCACTTGGCAGTTGCTTATAACTGAATGTCAGCCATGTGCTATGCAGCATGCAGAAGTGAAAATGCATATTTTATATGCTTATTTTCTATTTTCTCTACTATTAGTGGTAAGTGTCATTAGGGTACAGTTGGTTGATATAATTCTTAATTACGGACGGAGTGACTGTCCCTAGAAAGCACCACATACATATTGTGTGACTGATCAAAAGCATGAACCAGTGAATGTATGAGTAAGTCGGTGCACAAAAATAGAGAGATGTTTAGTGGGAAATAAGGGCACTTCTTCCACATGACTTACCTAACAATGGGAGTGGTAATCGGTCAAGGTTCCTGTCTTCTCCCGCCTCTCTATTTCATATTCTTTCCTTGCCTTCCTAGGCCATGTCTTGCTCTGACGCTAGCTGATTCAACCCATTGAGAGGGTAGACTTCTCTTCTGTTAAGAGATAACTACAAGAAAAAATCACTGATTGAACAATGAATTGACTACAAGAGTGGGATAAGAATGAGGGCAGCATGGGATAACTTGAGATGGGAAGCATCTTGAATTTCATGGGTTTTGTCAATGGATTCGAGGAATTGCTTTTACTAGTGTTCATGAGGGGTGTGATGATCATGCTCACTCACTTGGGACCAGATGATGGTATTTGTATCTGGGGTGCTTTAATCTGGGATGACCTGAAATAAGACCTCCAATGAAAAAGAAGGGTGTTTATTGTGGTGAGCCCAGGAGGCAAGAGGGCCTGTGATGACCCCGCTCCAGATAGGTTGTGGAGTTCAGGAAATACCCTGTTTCTGGACAGACAGATTGGAACCATTGAATTCTTGGTCTTCTCATGATGGGTTGCCCCACCATCGCATGGCCCTTGCTGCAATTTTTCTCCCAAGTGTTGAAAGAACTACCTATTTGGTTCCTGCAGCCTAGTTTTGAGGCTCCCAGATCACATCCCAGGCTCCCAGTTCTTTAGAGATAAAATAGTAGAACATTCTCTAACTTGTGGGTCTCTAGAGAAGGATGTAGATGTACAAGGTCCCCCAAACCAGACTAGGCTGGGAAGGTAACTAGTGTGTGTTTCCTTTTTTTCATTTGTTTTGTTTGTTTGTTTGTTTTTTGAGACAGAGTCTTGCTCTGTATCCCAGGCTAGAGTGCCATAGTGCGATCTTGGCTCACTGCAACCTCTACCTCCTGGATTCAAGTAATTCTCTTGCCTCAGCCTCCCTAATAGCTGGGATTACAGGTGCCCGCCACCATGCCCAGCTAATTTTTTGTATTTTTAGTAGAGATGGGGTTTCACCATGTTGACCAGGCTGGTCTCGAACTCCTGACCTCGTGATCCACCTGCCTCGGCCTCCCAAAGCGCTGGGATTATAGGCGTGAGCCACCATGCCCAGCCATGTGTTTCTTTTTCTCTATGAGGCTCTCGTAAGGATTCACTCTAACCAGAGAGTTGTCAGTTTTGATGGATCTCTGGAATCCACTGTAAGTCTTCATCTCTGGGGGCTGATTTATCTCCCTCAGCATCTCAGGGCCTAAGTTGTGGGTGGGTGTGACAGGCAGCGATGAACTTCTCGTGGCTGCAGAAACTCTCTCAACTCCAGTCTGAGACTCAACTCTGTTTTGTTTTGCTGATTTCAAACTGTTGACCACCTTAGTTTAGTATAAGTATTTACAAAATCCTCTGGAGGAAAAATGTATTTTTGTACTTTCCACAGTATTACAACTTTCCCACCATTAGTTACCAGCTTTTCCAGTTGAATAATACTGTCCACATCCATACAAATGTTTGATTAATTGGGTTGACCATAGAGGTATTGCCAATTTTTAATGACCCAGGAAATACACCAAGGAAAATACACCAAGGACCCGAAATATGAAAAGCATTGGACACATTGCTGGTTTAGAAGGTTCTTTAGAAATGTTTTACTGCACAGAAGCTGTAGCAAGAGGACCAGGTGCCACCTCATTTCAGGGGTGAGTAGGGCTAAATGAGAATTCTGGTCAGTCAGGAGAAGTTTTATAGACCTTTAGTCAGAAGGATTGTGTGAAGTTGTTAAGCTAGGGAGTGCAATGCTAAGAATATGTTCTTTTTGAGCTTCTCTGGGGTTAGCTTTTTAGTTGTACAAGCCAACGAGGGAGACATTTGGGCTACTGGAGGTGAAGAAAATAGATTATGAGAATTGAGTTTAGATGTCTGACCTTTCAGGCAAAGTTACTGTGACCCAGTTTTTCATCTCCTACTTTCCCTCTTCATGAATTAGAAGAGAAGGTTGAGGCTTGTGACATATGGAAATTGTCTTCCTATCCTAGTTTCTTGCTTTCCTGTCTCAGTTGCCTTTGGTGAATCTCTCCCTTCAACCTGGAATGACCTTTCTGCTCTCGTCTGTGTGGCTGAATCCCATTTCTCTTAAGTTCTCAGACTTAGCAGCAACTCCACAAAGGCATTCTTTACCCTTCTGGGTGGAAAGTTGTTCTTGTCTCTCCCTCTTTTGAGCTCCCATAGGAGTTACTGAACCTTGCCTATTGGTACTTATGCCTTACTTCTGTTGTGAACACATATCGTACTTACCCCGGTGCACTATAGGCGCCTTGAGGGCAGGAAAAATGGGTTTTCGTTTTCGTACCCTCTACCATGCCTAATAGAAGCACCAAGTACATCTGAATGTATTCCCCCCTTCTAGAAAGGAAATCCCAAGAAGTTATTCTCCCTTTGGAATAATGACTGTTGTGCTATTTTTTCTCCCTAACCTCATAGAATTGTGAAGACGTCCTTCTCTTTTAAGGACTGACTTTTAAATCATATGCCTCTCTTCTCCACAGGTTCCCATAAAGTGAGTCTGTCCTCTTGGTACCATGATCGGGGTTGGGCCAAGATCTCCAACATGACTTTTAGCAATGGAAAACTAATAGTTAATCAGGATGGCTTTTATTACCTGTATGCCAACATTTGCTTTCGACATCATGAAACTTCAGGAGACTTAGCTACAGAGTATCTTCAGCTAATGGTGTATGTCACTAAAACCAGCATCAAAATCCCAAGTTCTCATACCCTGATGAAAGGAGGAAGCACCAAATATTGGTCAGGGAATTCTGAATTCCATTTTTATTCTATAAACGTTGGTGGATTTTTTAAGTTACGGTCTGGTGAGGAAATCAGCGTCGAGGTCTCCAACCCCTCCCTACTGGATCCGGATCAGGATGCAACGTACTTTGGGGCTTTTAAAGTTCGTGACATAGATTGAGCCCCAGTTTTTGGAGTGTTATGTATTTCCTGGATGTTTGGAAACATTTTTTTAAACAAGCCAAGAAAGATGTATATAGGTGTGTGAGACTACTAAGAGGCATGGCCCCAGCGGTTCAAGAGTCAGTATCCATGCTCTTGACCTTGTAGAGAACACGCATATTTACAGCCAGTGGGAGATGTTAGACTCATGGTGTGTTACACAATGGTTTTTAAATTTTGTAATGAATTCCTAGAATTAAACCAGATTGGAGCAATTACGGATTGACCTTATGAGAAACTGAATGTGGGCTATGGGAGGGGTTAGTCCCTGGTCATGTGCCCCTACACAGCTGAAATGGAGAGGGTGTCATCTAGCACAATTGAAGGATCATCTGAAAGGGTAAATTCTTTTGAATTGTTACATCATGCTGGAACCTGCAAAAAATACTTTTTCTAATGAGGAGAGAAAATATATGTATTTTTATATAATATCTAAAGTTATATTTCAGGTGTAATGTTTTCTTTGCAAAGTATTGTAAATTATATTTGTGCTATAGTATTTGATTCAAAATATTTAAAAATGTCTTGCTGTTGACATATTTAATGTTTTAAATGTACAGACATATTTAACTGGTGCACTTTGTAAATCCCCTGGGGAAAACTTGCAGCTAAGGAGGGAAAAAAAAAAATGTTGTTTCCTAATATCAAATGCAGTATATTTCTTCATTCCTTTTAAGTTAATAGATTTTTCAGACTTGTCAAGCCTGTGCAAAAAAATTAAAATGGATGCCTTGAATAATAAGCAGGATGTTGGCCACCAGGTGCCTTTCAAATTTAGCAACTAATTGACTTTAGAAAGCTGACATTGCCAAAAAGGATACATAATGGGCTACTGAAATCTGTCAAGAGTATTTATATAATTGTTGAACAGGTGTTTTTCTACAAGTGCTGCAAATTGTACATTTTTTGTTTTTTCAAAATAGAAAAGTTATTAGTGGTTTATCAGCAAAAAAATCCAATTTTAACTTAGTAAGTGTTATTTTATACTGTACAATAAAAACATTGCCTTTGAATGTTAATTTTTTTGGTACAAAAATAAATTTATATGAAAACCTGCCTTGTGATTTTGTACTTCTCCTTCATGTCTCTTTTGCTGTGTGATCCTATTATTTTCAATATGGTAATGTGGCTTCTATCTCTTTCCAAAGGTTACTGGGAGAAATGCAGATTTAATTAAAAATTAGAAGCAGATTCAATTAAATTAATGATCCTTGGAATTTGAAAAGTAATTTGCAAGGAATGTGTATGCAAGGATATACCCAGATAGAAAATGGAGGCTTCTTCACTCAAAAAAGCCAAAATTTATATGATGTTGATATCGTGAGAAAAATACGGTGCTTTGTATAAGTTCACAATGTCTTAAAGAATAACTGTGCATGTTGTGCACATGTACCCTAGAACTTAAAGTATAATTTAAAAAATAGTAAGAAAATGCACACACACACAAAAGAATAACTGACCTGGAGGAACACCTGAACATTTTATACCTTACTATGGTAAGTAAGGAAGAATTAGCAGTGTCCTGGACTCTTGTTCTCATGGAAATTTATACAGGAAAGCTGTCTGACCCAGGTTGGCTACTTATGTGGGAGAGATATAAGAAAATGAGCAGCTTGGGAAGGCACTGTACACCATAATCTAAGGCACTTTTCATTTATGGATAAATGTTTTTAGATGACTGTGACAGGATAGGAGGAGAGAAGAAACAGCAGATGTTACAAAGAAGAAACTGTAAAATTCACACAGCAGAACTACAATGGTGGAACTCAATCATTGGCCAAAATAGACCTACTATTTAAAAACCATCAATACGTCTAAGGTCAGTTGGTAAAAAATACGACTTCTGTGTTGCATGTCCCAGTTGCTGAGCCTTAGTTTAAGGAAAAAATCATTTTGATAAGCAATCAGAGAGTTTCTCCACTCTCCATGGGCACTGTCTTATTATGTAGAGTGCCTCATTAGCTAGCCTGGCTCTCATGATATGATTCTGTCACAGGACTCACAGGTTCATGTGTCCACTGCATAGTAACAGTCCAAGTACACTGAGACAGCAGAATTTGCGGCAGAGAAAGAGTCTAATGATCTCAGGGCACCAAGTAAGGGGATGGAAGGGGACTCAGATTCATCTGCCCCGAGGAGTTCTGGGCTGAGGTTTTTAAGCAGATTAGGGAGAGTGAGGGGTTAGAAAATTGGGGTCATTGACTGGCTGGGTTAAGAGGGATGAAATCATGAGGATGTGGAAACTGCATTCCTCGGTGAGGGAGCTTCTCATGGGGTCCTCTTCAGACCAGCTGGCGTCAGTAGTTTTACTGATATGCAGGACCTGAAAGAATGTCTCAAAGGGAAAACTTCACATTTTGTGATGTTCAAGCTGTTATCTCTGGAGTATTTAAAGGGAACTATAATCTTAGACTCTACATGATTCTAAGACAATAGGCAAATAGCTATGAGGAAGGGGTCGGAGAGCAAGCTGACATAGTGATGGATGCTGAGCGTGTTGCAAGCTTGCTTTATTTTTGTTTTCCCCACTCCTTGCTTCCCTGATACATTTTATAAAGTTTATAGGGACAGTTTCAAATCTGTCATTTCCAAAGGTGAATGACATTCATCCATTTGTCTGTTCCGTATTATTTCTTGAGTACCAGCTATGTGCTAGGTGCTGTACCAGGCACTGCGGATGCTATGGCACTCTCCTTACCCTTGAGAAGTTTCCATTCTGGTTGGGAGCCAGCCTAGCAAGGGTGTGTGTGGTCAGCCCTAGGGTGTGGACATACACACTGGGCTGTGGGCACAGAGAGGAGGCTATGGAACCCATCTTGGGAGTCACAGAAAGTCTGAAAAGGATATCAGACTGGATAGGAAGAGGGGTTTTAAAAAGTTTTGAAAGTGGATATAGAATATCCATTACCATTTTTAACTTAGAGGTAACTGAATGTGCAGTCTCTCAAAAAGGAGCTAAAAATCCAAGGTCTAGGAAAGAAAACAAAAAAACAAAAAACACCCCAGGACCTAGTGAGGTAAGACACGGTGGCACCAGCCAAACTGGAGAACTAACATCGTAGAGAATCTGCAAAGCCAAGGGACAGCTCTTTTGAAGACCTCAGGCCGGGCGCGGTGGCTCACGCCTATAATCCCAGCACTTTGGGATGCCGAGGCAGGTGAATCAGGAGGTCAGGAGTTTCAGACCAGCCTGGTCAACATGGTGAAACCCCGTCTCTACTGAAAAGACAAAACATTAGCTGGGTGTAGTGGCGGGCGCCTGTAATCCCAGCTACTCAGTAGGCTGAGGCAGGAGAATTGCTTGAACCCGGGAGGTGGAAATTACAGTGAGCTAAGATTGCACCACTGCATTCCAGCCTGGGCAACAGAATGAGATTCTGTCTCAAAAAAAAAAAAAAAAAAAGAAGAAGAAGAAGAAGAAGAAAACCCCAATAATGGAGCCTGCCTGTAATGTGAATTTTACGTACATTAGCACTATAGTAGGTCAGAGATGTTTTAGAGCTTTGCTGGAATGAATCTATGACTTAAGGAAAAGTGAGTATAAACTGGCCTATGCCTTGAAGGAGGCAGTGGTAGCAAGTGGATGTGCCAGGAGGTATGGAAAAGGCTTTTTCTCTTTTCTAGTCATGCTCAAGGCTTACCAAGCTGAGCTGTAGGGTCTAAAATGCAGGATGCAATACCCTACTTTCCTCTTCACATGCTACTTTTTTACTTCTGTTTTTCTTCTCACTCATCCCTTTTACCCTTTTGTGTGTGTTTGAACTCTTCCCTTTTTTCTTTTCCTGGTCCCCCCAGTGCCTGGCTCTTGCCTCGAATGACCATTTCATGTCTGTGGTGGGCCTTGGGGAATAAGGAGGCTGCTGCATCTAATAGAGACGGAACCAGGTCATGTCAACCCTCAGTGACAGCTAAGTGTGTTGAGGTGTGACAAAATCATGTCAGGAAACCAACACATATGATGGCAAACTCAATTGTTTGCTCATTTTAATGACTTCATTTCAATCTTATTCTTAACACATGCCAAATCTGAAGGATGGAAAGAGTGTCAAATTTGAGGCCATCTGTCTTCTTGAATTGACTTACAACTACACCAGACCAGGCACCCTCGCACCTTTCAAAGTGCCACATGTGCACCAATTCTTGTTTAGTATACTTGTTTCCCCCTCTTTGCCTATTTCCTTTTCTCTATTCATCTTCATTAGGCCATCCTAGAAAAAAATATCTGGAGAGGATGATCTATTTCCCGAGTGACTCTGTGGGGAAGCTGAGCACCTCATGCCTATCGTTTCCCTCTGGGTCTGATTATTGGTTTGGCTTGAGCTAGTGCCATCAGGTTATACTCGTACATCTTGGGAGCACAACTTTGACTCAGATTTCACTTCTACGTTTAGCCTGGCCAAACGTGCTTGCTTCACTTTTGGCTTTGTTAATCGATTCTTCAGCTTCCTTGCTATGAAATTGAAATATGTTTCCCAGTAGCTGCATTTATAAATGCTAATTAGTTATTGATTCACATTATTATGATTTAGCCTTGTGTCACTTTCTACAATAAAAAGTGTATACACAGTGAGTGTTAGATTTCAGTGATAAAGCAGAAATCTATCCTTTTGATTAATAACACTTTTATGATACTTCTACTCTTCTGTTCTTGTAATTTAAAATTTTTATTTCGTAATCATCTACCATCACCTCCCCTCTCCTTTGGTGACTGATTTCCTTTGTAGGGGCTTGTCATTATTGCACCTGGACCAGTGCTCTGGCTGCTTCTAGTGGTAGTCTCTTGATATTATCAGATGTGGACAAGTTATAACAATATTATTCATATTGATACTGGCTTTCAATGTCTGTAAAGAAACCCTGTAGAATCTTCTGTTTTGAAAATTCTTAGATGTGTCTCTTCCAGTTGACAAAGGAGTGAGCTAGAAGTTACTCCATTAGCAGCACCCAGGGGATCAGAGGTGGTTTCAGAGGCAAGGAGCTTTTCTAAAAAGGTTGATAGTTACTTCATTCTCCCTAAAGAGGGTCCTAGAATCACTGGATGTCACTCTCTTGGGCAAATGCCAGTTTCTTCCTTTTCCTGCAGACACTTCATTTTCTCAGAAGTGTGATCTCAGTAACCTCAGGGTGGTGGAACAAGACGCCTCATGAGATGTGAACATCTTTTGAAAGAAGGATTGCAGATTTAGGTGTCAGCCAGACCCAGGCCTGGAGTCTGATCTCCACTGCCTGGCACCCTGGGCGGGCGACCATCATTTAGATTCAGTTTCCTGCTTGTGAAGCAGGAGTCATCCTGTCTGAGCTGAGTCATAACGATTGGCGCAAGACAGGGCTCAGCAAATAGGAACCACTGTCACCATCTTCCTAGCCCATTTGCTACGTCCTTGTACAAAGCTTACGGTTTTTTTTTTTCTCTAGATGCTGTGCAGGGCCTACATCAAGCAAAGTACTATGCTCTGCGTTGTGAGTGATACCAGAATAGATACTGTATTAATTCCCTACAGCTGCCTAGATAACAAATGACCACAAACTGGCTGGCCTAAAACAACAGAAATACATTTTCTCACAGTTCTGAAGGCTAGAAGTCCAATATCAAGGTGTGAGTGGGACCATACCCCACTGAAGACTCTCGGGAGGAATCCTTCCTTGCTTCTCCAGCTCACGGTGGTTGCCGGCAGCCCTGTGTGTTCTTTTCCTTTTAGCTGCATTGCTCCAGCCTCTGCCTCTGTCTTCACATGGCTTCTTTCCCATGTCTCTTCACGTGGTTCTTCCCCCTTGTGTGTTTTTTTGTGTTTGTGTGTTCTCTGTGTCTCCAAATCTCTCCCTCCTTATGAGGACACCGGCGACTGGATTTAGGGCCCACTCATCTTACCTTGATTAAGTCTGCACCGGTTCAGAAGGACATAAATTTTGGGGAAATGCTATTCAACCCAGCATAGATAAAAGGAACTTAGAGTCCAGGGGTGAAATAAATATTTAAAAGCCAAGCCATAAACAAACTAGAATGAAATAAATGCCACAATAGAAGCACAAGCAATGAGCTATTCAACTCACCTAACT